TTGTCACAAAATATAATAAATAAATAAATAGTATCCAATTTTCAAGCAATTGGTCAATTAAATCAACTGTGGGTCAAATTGACCCCAACACAACAAGATTGTTAAAAGTTCCTACAGTCTTCATTCCACCAAATTAACCAGCTTTACTTGCCTATAAGTAATGCCATGTTTGCGTAGGAGTTCAGTGACAAACTCCACACTTGTTGACTGAATGTAAAGGTGAACTTCAGAGTTTGTTGTAATGTAAATGGGTGAAGCAGGCTGCCACAATTCTGTCTGAAAAAGAACAGAACATGAGATTACATGTTAGCCGAAAAACTCACAGGACCAGACTGAGGGTCAGTTCAATAAATCAAATCAATGAACAGCAAATATTGTGAAGGCTATTTGTACTCAGAACCTAGAGTATTACATCTCTTAGCAAATTTGATATTCACAATCATGCTCTGACAGAATGCTAGTCAATAAATGTCAACAAATAACCTCTTACCTCATTGTTACTTGTTAAGTTTTGCACTGTGTCCACATGTTCCTGTGTGGATATGGTGATGGACAAAACCTGGTCACTGTGTGTGAAGATAGAAACAGCTGCAATCATTTACTGTAGTATCATCTACATCTAAAAAAAAAGTCTGATTTACGATATATATAAACATCAGTTCTTATTTCTAGCTATTTTTTCTCATAATTCTGAGTTTACATTTTGCAAGTTTATTTATCTATTTATTTATCTATTTTTTTTCTAAGATAAAATTCTCATCATATGCAAATATTTTTGGTACATAACTACTACTAACAGTACTACATAATTGCACATAATTATTCACAATAAACACTTCAGCAGAGAATGTACCATTTTCTGTTTATTTAAAACTTTTGGTTGTCATAACATCTCAACTATTAACAACATGCGCTATTCTACTTGTAGTAATCGTGAAGCTATATGTTATATATCCACATTTAATAGATGGAGATACAAACACTGTATCTATTATTATTCTTTTACCCAAGAAAATAGTTTTAAATGTTAAATAAAAAACAAATCATACTGTGAGATCCCATTTTTCTACAGCAGGTAACGTTTTTCACCTTTTATTGTTTAAAGTGAGGTTTTACATTGATTACAATAAGTTAATGCTGACGTACAACAGAGATCTGATTTCAGTCGTGGGTGTTTACAGCATCAACTTAAATATATGATTGCATAATGCATAATTTTAGGAAAAATATGACTTACGGTTCCGATTTGCAGATACACTTCTCAAGGAAGATGTTAAAACATATTAAGTAAACCAGTTGTATTGGGGGCCTCATGTTTTTGTTCTGTCTCCCAATAGTTTGTGCAATAATGTGGACAAGGTACGAGGCCAGTATTGATCTAGAACTGTTTGTTTGCTGGTTAAACTTTACTTTGAATTAGCTCTGTGTAGATTATATTTTAAAACATTCCAAATGGTTGTTTATAAAATATATATATATGAGAACTGCTGTATCATTTAAAAAAAATTAAGTATAATCAGAAAACAAATGGTGTCATTTCATCTCAACTGTTAAGAACATTCTTTCTCTGCGATTAGCAAAACACATAGGCTAGAACTCAACCATAAATTAAACCTTAACACTAGGTGGCAGCCAATGGCAAGTGTTATTATTTTATTATTATTCTTTTTTTTTTAAAACCAGATTATCGTTTAGGCTCCAGACCAGCAGATGGCGAAAATGTCGTTTGCCAACAGCCATTAAATCGCCAGAAGAAGTAAAAATCAACATCCGTTTAATTAAGTTGAATAAAATCGGAATAGGAGGGAGAATGTATAATTGGATATTAGATTTTTGTTGTTTGAGCGAACATTCCAGGTAAGAATAGGTGAAGAAATGTCAGCATTGTATGATATCCTGAATGGGACTCCACAAGGAAGTGTAATCAGTCCAATTTAATTTAATGTAATGATTAATTATATATTTGAAAGAGTTAAACCAGGCTCTGGGAAGGCATTATATGCAGATGATGGTGCAGTATGGAGAAGAGGTAGGAATTTAGGAAATGTAGTTAAAGGAATACAAGAATCAATAAATGAAGTTGAAAGGTGGTCAGTAGATTGGGGATTGAAGTTTTCAGTATCAAAGACTCAATATATGGTTTTTACAAAGAAAAATAAAATGGAACAAATGTCTCTGAAATTATATGAACAATTGTTAGAAAGAGTGACAGAGTTCAAATATCTTGGATTAATCTTTGATGAAAAATTAACTTGGAAGAGACATATTAAGAAAATTTAAAACAAATGCAAAGGAGTAATAAATTGCATGACTTCAATAGCCAAGTATGAATGGGGAGCAAGGAAAAGTGCACTGTTACATGTATATCAAGCCTTAATACGGTCTAGTATAGACTATGGGTGTGCAGTGTATGGTGCTGCGGCAAAATCAGAATTAAAGAAACTGGACAACATACAGTCCAGAGCACTTAGAATCTGCTGTGGAGCAATAAGATCAACCCCTCTAGATGCCATCAGGGTCGAAATGGGGGAGATGCCGTTAGATTTAAGAAGAGAAAAGCTTGCGATGATGTATTTCTCTTAAAAGTATATTGTCGACAAAAACTGATAGAGAAGACCTGCTAGTAGAAATGTATACATTACTGTACAGACAGAAAATAGAGGGTATAATCATATACTTTTGTTGGGTACCGGCACATATCGGGATAGTAGGAAATTCTAAATTCAACACTTGCATTAATGGGGAAGCATGAAAATGGTATGTGTGATGAATGTGATGTTTTTGAAACAGTAGACCATTGTGCTCTTTAAATGTCGTAAATATAAAGATCAGCGTAACAGTCTTTTTAGCAATATAAGGAACAGACCAGTGAGTGTCGTGGACATTCTGGGAAAGGGTTTGAGTCAGATGTTTAAGG